CTAGTTAATATATTACTTATATTAGAGTGGGTTGTATAAGGAAATTACGTATCACAAAAGTGTATTCAAAACCAATGTATCTTTCCTAGCCACAAGTAATGTTGACATACCCGACAATCTGTTGGTTTGGTTCCACGTCTACAAGTTATTTGATACGCAAAATAAACAGGATAATCTACCACTGCTCCGCAAACAGGCCATACACGTGACTAACATTAGCTAACACTGGATACGCCATTGTTATTAGTTATGTAAATTATTAATATTTATTTATAAGAATGTAAACAATGCCTCATAGCCTTATAAACACTATTATTTAGTTATGAAATAGTGGAAGTACGTGTTACCTATCAGAATTTGTGAAATATGTTTCCCTAAGGATGCAGAGTATGCAGACGGGGACGTAATGTCTCACTGTTATAAAATATCATCTATATTACTGTAAGCGTAGCAGAAAAGCGAATAGTTATAATTCTTTTATAAAATACATTTAGAAAACCGACTTTAACTCTCCCTTTTTAGTAATTTGGTTAATTAATATATTAAAACCTTCTCCTAAGTGTAACAAACGCTTTTTTGAAAACCGCATCAAAACCAGTGCAGTCCATCGCGAGATAAGCGCGCACAAACATACATACATATCAAACAGAGAACCTCCTTTTTTGAAGTCGATTAAGAACAAACTTAAACCTCTGGCGTTGCTCTGATCCTAATCGTATCTCGTCTCGTAGGTAATCGTATCTGGCGTATTCAGATCATATACCCATTCTCGATACCTAAATGAACTATCCAATACAATACAACATAACTATTCATTTCGTTCCTTTCAGTTCCGAAGATTGACGAGTTTAAATAAACTGGATTCTTATTCTGGCTTTATATTTGTAATTAGCATTTTAAGTATGAGTAGGTAGATTGAAGCAAACTTCATCTTTGCATTTCAGAGATGAAGCAACGATTGATACACGGAGTGTCATTATATCTTTATTTGTGATATCAGCACCCTTTGTGTCCTTTGTTTTATTGTCTTACACAAATATGTGCGTACCACTACATAAAGGCGTATAAGCGATTCTAGATAATAAATATCTGTTGTTATTTAGACTAATTAATTGTTTATAAATAAGATTTTAATAAAGTGTTATTTGTAAGGCACTTTAACTTTGTGAAGTATTTATGATCGAATTCTCTGTCTGATTGTCTTTGAGAGAATTTGTTCTCAAGTGCCTACGGAAAAAAGTAGTGTGAAACTCAATTGTCATCCTTAAACGCGTACCTATAATCATTATAAATTTAATATACGTTTATTTGTTTGTTATAGATTTACTAGCGACCCGCCCCGGCTTCGCACGGGTGCAATATGCATGTATTATACATATAAACCTTCCTTAAAAATCACTGTAACTATTAAAAAAAACCGCATCAAAATCCGTATAGGGACAGACAGACGGCGGATACCGGCTTTGCTTTATACCTCTACTATGTAGTGATTTAGATTCCAATAACTTTGCTGTAAACTTTTTAATTAAGTTGGTATAACAATAAAGTAATTTGTACCTTTATTAACCTTACATTCAGGTGTCGTGGTAAAATTTTATCTACCTAAATATTGAATTTCAGGCAATATGGCGCAATGCTAAGGAAATTTTGGCATCCTCTGTTGGCCAAGCTTAATATACGCAATGCTGTAGTTTCCCTGTTACATAATTTACTAGAATTTCCTTTAATACTTTCCTTTCTGTGTACCTACATAACTAGGTACTCTCAAATGTTGAAAATAAACCATATTTTTTATAATTAGTTTGCATTTTATTCAATAGTAGCACGGAGTCTGGAATTGTGTCCGGTATATGGCAATAGGCTCACCCCCTTTTACAAGGGACTCATAACATTAATAGTGAAAAGTGGGTGTTACATTGTACAGTGGTATAATGTGCACCTCTGCCTACCCCTTCAGGAATAAAAGGCGTGATGTTATGTTATTTTATTCAAACATGTGTCTAGAAATAAATACCTAATTTTATTATACAGTAATTTTATTTACAAAGAATACTTAATGTTAATTTTTCACTCAGGTAATAACATTTTAATAAATTAACTTTCAGTCAGTAGTTATATTGGCATTCATCTGACTCCGACAGAATTAACCTTCAGATTACAATGTATTTTTCCTTAAATAATTCATTTATTATATACCTAAGTCCTAATATACGTAATAGGTACCTAAAAAAACCTAATGTCGGAATACTGAAACGTTACTCAATTTTAAGTCGCGCTAAAGTATAGTTCTGTCACTACTAAATTCTTTGTATGACAGAGATGGCACGTTATTTAAGCACGACTTAAAATTAAGTAACGTTTCAGTATTCCGGCATAAGTCACTTAGGTACTCTTCAAACCTATTAAGAAAATTCTTTTTAACATTGTAATATGATGACGGATATCAAAGAATACATTTATAAGATACATACATATATATATACTGGCATGCTCTACTTGTTCACTCTCGATAACTGTGTAGACACTAGATACGTTCCCAGTAGATAGATAAATCGTTGTGGATACAACAACTACTTTAGGAACATTTTTCTATTTGTTTGGTTTCAGTTTACCGTATTACAAGTATCTTTGTCTTATCACATAGTAAGTGCTTGTTTTTAAGAGATACGCTTGGGTCTTTTTCTTAAATGTTTGCGTTCTAATTTGCAAATTGTTGCTAATGTGCCAATGCGTATCTAAATATTTTTAGATTTTATAATCGACCGAGTTCGTACAATACGTAGGTACACGTATGTACATAACGAATTGGAAATTAAACCGGCGATGTTGGGAATAAACGCGGATAAAACTTTGGAGATAAATACTTTCAATTTATTTATCGGTTGTATTTGTAGCACTAAAGTCAATTTTTATGGCGGGAAATGGCCTGCACTATGTCGGTAACATAGTCTTCTCTGAAGCTATGTGTTCTTACCTATTGACAAATGACTTTCCAAAAATGAAAAACTGTTATAAAAACTTTATAAGCGGATCACGATCGCATTTGACGTCAAGATCATCGAACCCACTGCGCCTAGACCGCTTCGGTACTTCCTTACCGTTATAATAGGAAGATACCGTGACCGTCTGCACTAAGCAGTACAAACAATATTATAAAAATATTGCTTAAAAGTAGATATAATGAAAGAGTAACGACTTGATGAATACTCTCGCTTCCACGCGTAGTATTCACATTGCCTAGTAGCGACTTAGCTACCTTTATCATTTATGTAAATTATTTACATACATATGTACATAAGAAATTAACACAAAATTGTAGTTCGTGTCTTATAGGCCAAAGAAAATTGTGATTGTATGATAATATTTCAGAAGGTTTCCATAATTCTTTACCTACATTAGGTAGGGTAGGTACTTAATTAAAATTCTCTTGCAAGTATTTAGTCGTAAAATTTTCTCATTAACCTCAGCTGCTATTGGGTAACTGAATTTGAATGTTTCTCATTGTATTGATTTTTTTGTATAAATATGTAATTATTTTAAAGGAAAATTAAACAGCAGTTGTTTTCGTAGGTAGAGATAAATGATGCAGTTAGACTAAACAAAACACTTAATTCTCATTATTATTGTGTTTTACTACTTATCATGTTTCATGAGCTAAAATATCGACAGTACCTAAGCAGGTATTTACCAAATAATCCTTATTAGGTACTCGATTTCAAATTTATTATGATTGTAACACTGTTTCTATTAAAATTATGAGTGATGTTAAGTACTATACTTAAACAAAATCCTAGGATGGGTTTTAGAAGTTTTCATTTAGTTTTTATTGCTTCTCTGATAGCCCAACAGAGACTATTATGACATTATCTATGACGTTATGTTTTTAAAAGATTTGTAAGGTTGGATGGGAAGGTCGTATTTGTAGTCATTTAATTATAGGATTACGTACACGTCAACCTGTTCGCGTGACTGTCGCACGGGGGTAAACGCCGCAGCCGCTCTCGTCTTTATGGCTTCTTCTATATTCAAGTTTCTAGATCCGGGCTACTAGGGGTGACCTTACTTTATCGTATTTCGATAGTAGACATACTGACGCCGGTGTAAATTATGTTTTTCTAATGCAATGCTAGCTGTTTCATTTAGAATGTCTAAAGTTTTTGTATCAGTCTCAGGCTGAGACTAACCTAATAGGCATTGTGACTATTATTACAGAATTTATTATTACTATTATATCAATAAGAACGTGTATTCGCACATCATAGGTGTATTTAGATCCAGTAACTAGTACTAGTACCTAGGTTTAACTAGATATTTCAAAATACAGGTGGTAGTTGGTACCTATTCCGATTGCGGTCCCAAACCATCTCGTACTCAGCCACGAAAGGTTTACTATTTCCTACAAATGTTTATAAAAACTACATGAACTAACATCAAACAAATCTATTCACTACAAAGTTCAATATTATGGTTTATAACCATAATAATAATATACTGCAATAGTTTTATATAATATAGGTAATGTTCCCGAGGACTCACACGTCACTCGTTTTATTTCATTGCAGTATTGTTTTATCGTCGCGCCACGTGCACATTTTCCAATCGATATATTTCTCGTTTGAATATTTTATAAGGGAATGAGCTCCATGGGTGGAAACTAAAGGACAGAAATAATCGATATCCAACTGTGGTAGCCGTGAAACACAACATCTGCGGTCATTAAAGTCTAGATTGATTTGTATGTAGTTACTACGGTTCGATAGCTAATTATAGCATTAATCGCACTGCTCGTACATTTTTCAAATCAGCGATACTATCACTTTTTATTACATTCCGTGGCGATCTGCTAAAGTACGTATTTGTAACATACGCAAATGGTGGCAATTAGCATCGCTTCGACTACCAGAAACCTTAATTTGCGCATTTGAGCTTGATATCTTCGAACTAACAAGACTTCGTTATACTTAATTATTTAAACTAATAAGATGTTATTTTGTCCACAGATTCTTATGGCGTTACGCCAATGGTATGATCAGGTCGAAGAGATGGGGCCGTCAGGATGCGACGGTGGCGGAGCTGTTCACGCGGCGTGCCCTCAAGAACCCGGACGCTCCATGCTTCTTTGTCGTCGGTGACCGCGACTGGACCTTCGGAGAGGTTAGCATTGGCATAGATTTATTAATTGATAAAGTATTTAAAATACAGCTACACTGCATTATTTTTATAGAGGTTCAAAGATCGCCGTCGTTTGACTGCACGGTTGGTGCGGTGGCTGGGCAACCGGCTGCCGTGCAACGTGTCGCGAGTTCGATTCCTGCACGGAACAACACTTTGTGTGATCCACAAATTGTTGTTTCGGGTCTGGGTGTCATTGTGTATGTGAACTTGTATGTTTGTAAACGCACCCACGACACAGGAGAAAATCCAAATGGTTTGGGGCAACGTATTTAAAAAAAATATATATTTCTGTAATTCACTTTTGGCTCTGATATAGTTAGCTTAGTCTACATTTAGTGTAATGGTACAAAGAGGAGATTTGGGTATTGTGACGTAAACACTGAATAGCATTAAAGTAGGTTTCTATTCCGAGAAACTTATAGGCAAAAATTAGTTGTGGTGTGTTATTATTATGTCGCAATACAAACCCTTATTTTAACGGTACAATATACCTACTTAGTTTATCATCCCAGAATTCAACAGTACAAGTTTTCATCCAACAGATGGCCGCTAACTCTAACAAGGTAGCTCGAGTGATGCAAGAGCACATGGGCCTGAAGCGTGGAGACGTGGTGTGCGTGTTCATGCCCAACTGTGGGGAGTATGTCTGGACTTGGCTGGGCATGGCCAAGCTGGGCGCCGTGTCTGCCCTCATCAACAGCAACCTGCGCCATAAGCCGCTGCTGCACTGCATCCAGGTCGCCAAGGCAAAGGCTATCGTCTTCTCCGACCAGCTTGCTGACGGTGAGAATTTTTATTTTTACCATTTATTTAGATTGGTAAAGAAAACATGAGTGGTAGGTATTGCCTACGCTTCAGATTTCCTATCTCATATTGAATTGCATAGTCTTGATGTCTTTTCAAAAAAATCTCGTGTCTTAATACTATGTAGTATCAGTTTAATAATGGTCAATCTTGAAGAGCCTTAATCACTAACTTATCTGAAATGTTACCATCGAAAATCACTGAATTTAAGTTCATAGGCAAAGTTTTATTCGAAGCATTTACCAAATGTTTTCCTCGTAAAGTCACATTGTACAGAGTAAGACAAACGGTTGGTAAATTATTTATTTAGGTTAACCTAGATTAGCTCGGCCATGTAAACCCAAATACATTAAAGTCTTGAGCAAGATTGGACACATTTACATTTCATGCATAAATTTTCACTGTACATAGTCATTCTGAATAGGAAAAATAGAGTTTGAATTGTAGAAGGAAAGTTGAGTAAGTGCCCATAAGTACCCATAAAATCCTATAGGTACTTTTAACAGTACCAATTACATAGTTGAACATTACGATCTTTGTTCTTTAACCTTAAAAATTCTGTATCATGTATTGGATTCTTATGTCCTATCAATATTAGTCATTGTGCAGAAATAATCAATGGGAAAGTATATTTTTATAGAATCATGTTACAACACACATGTTCATCTGAATCTCATTACGATCCCTACCAAGAAACCCCCACAGTCAATTTGTGCCAGAAAATGCGATAATAATGCGTTTATGGTAATCTCATCCACCCTAATTGACGTTCGTGTAGGCTGCAGACTTATCTTTCTTGCCCACAATGAAATATGGTGTGGAATCGTATCTGCCAAATTTTATTCTATTTGGTTTTGTGTCTATTAATGTCACTCCTTGTTCGAAAAAGACCCTGAAGGTGAGGTCTTAAACGTCGATATTTGTATTTTCTCGATTCCTGTTACACGGAACAGTCTCCCTACACTGAGATTAATATCGTCCTGAGCTGAACTTTATTTGCATCTTATAGTTCTCTACTGCCCATACCCTTTTAGGAAAACAGGTGACATAAACTCACCTTACAATAAAACTTAAAAAACTGTTCTTCATCAACCGCGAAGTAACAATCAAGGGGCTACTACAGTCATCAAAACGAGGGGCCGTCATTAGACACACCATAAAAACAGAATGACTAGGAAATTATTTAAACAACAGCTTCGGAACCTTGGTCCATGTCAAAAATCATCAGTCTGGCATTTATATAAGGAAAACGAATCATTGTAATGCATAAATAAATAAATGTCAATATATTGCCTTAACGAATTTTAAATGTTTTATGTCCAATTTTACACTGGATGCCAGACTCTGTGCTCTACTAAAACAAATATTGTTAATAATAAATAATTTGATGATTTACCTATGAAAAGTCTTCAAAATATTGTCACAAAAAAATTGCTTTTTAAAATACCTTATGTCAATATCTAACTCTGTTACTTAGGTACTTGCCCTTTACAGGTAAGTCTATAAGCTAGGCTGCCTAGGTGTAGGAAAATGGCACATTTTAGTTTAGCACCGGGGACTCATAACATATTTAGCCCGCCACTACTTACTACCCGCATTACAAAGTTAAATTCCATTGAGTTCCGAACTACTCCATTTTGGAAACGGTAAGACAGGCCTTTGTTATCTTTTTTTTACAAAATAATGATTTTGCTGTTAGCGTGACCGTGACCGTATTTTTTGTTCGTCATCATCTAATAATAATCACTGTACACATGCATTATCCTAATTTCATGCAAGAGTATTAAGCAGGTAGACGGTAAAATATGGGTGGGATTTCAAAGAAACGCGTAGTTGAAAGCCGTTTCTTGCGTAATAAATAAATATATCCTGCCTTTTATGCAAACATGTAGACAAGGGAAGAAGGATAATAAGTTTTTTAACATCTTATCCTACAGAGAAAGGTATCTACTAACAATATAACCGTTTGTTTGACACCTATGCGCTTTACAAACCCCATGAACCCAAGAAAAAGAGAAAAAACTACGCTTTCACTCAATTTTACTAACTACAAACTTAATTCTTCAGTAGTTACATTTTTTTTTTCATTACTAATTTACCGTTTTTCTACACCAGCAATATCCGAAGTCCGCGATCAGCTGCCGGAAAGCTTGAAGCTGTTCCAGCTGTACGGAGAGTGTTCCCCTGGAGTGCTGGACCTGGCTGCGGAGATGGAGAGGCATCCTCCGGAGTATCCCATCGTGACTGACAAGCCACGGTACAAGGATACGCTGCTCTACATCTACACTTCTGGCACCACCGGCATGCCCAAGTCTGCTATACTGCCCAATTCTAAGTAAGTTAAGGGTAAACATATTAGTTGACTCAGCATGCTTTCTAAAAGGTTCTTACTTTCAGCTAAATAATATGGTAGAATTGAACAGTTTTAAAGACTAAAGCCGAAAGAAAGAAGAAACGGTCAAGGATGAGTTTACAGATTGAGGTTGATCTTAAGAAATTCTAATTTTAATTTCTGTCAATAAATTCACTATTATCAGAAACGATTTTAAAAATTTGAAGATATTCTTTCCGTATTTTTGGTAAAGGAATTGCGGTAGGCATTTGGTCTTTAAATGTGAATAATTTCAAAACCTAAAACTGCAGTTTTGTAGTCTGTAGTACCCAACCATAACTGGGTGTTATGGTGATAACTAACCGCGAGTACGCTCACCAGGTATCTCCTGGTGGTTGTGGCGACGGTGCACATGTTGGGTCTGAAGAAGTCGGACCGCATGTACAACCCGCTGCCTCTGTACCACATGGCGGGCGGGCTGGTGGGCACGGGGGCTGCCCTAGTGGACGGCATCCCTTCAGTACTGCGCGCCAAGTTCTCTGCGTCCAACTACTGGACTGATTGCATCAAGTATGACTGCACGGTGAGTTGGTATGACGACGAGTATCAGAGATGTATATGGCGCTCTGTGATATTTCTTTTTAGTCTTTTAATCTCAAGGATGTTGTTCCTGATGCTTGCTAAAGTAATTGATAACCAAATTATTGACCTATACGATTCTTGTCTTCGAATCTGTGAGATGCTGAGGAGAATTATGAGGAGTGCTGAAAGCACTAACTTGGTCCTTTTCATAAAGGTAAATGTGCTGAAAATATTAAGAGTATTAATATAAATCTTATTATTTATTACAAGGCAACACTGTCACATTAGTCGCAGTTGTCGTACTACGATGTGATTTTTATGGAATAGGGTGGTAAACGAGCAGACGGATCGTCTGATGGTAAGTGATCAGCGCACACACTTAAAACACCAAGAGAATTACAAGTGCATAACCCGTCTTTTGGAGATTTAGGAGTTAAGGAGTGGGTGCTGGTGGTTATTATTTTTAAATTGTGCAAGTTTGAACTTTAAGTATGTCTTATCAAAGGTGGCTCAATACATCGGCGAGATGTGTCGCTACCTGCTGGCGCAGCCCCCGCGGCCGACGGACGCGCAGCACCGCGTGCGCATCATGGTCGGCAACGGGATGAGGTCCGCCATCTGGCAGCAGATTGTCGACAGGTAAATATAATACATTATTGTGTGTATTATGTACATTATTCTAATTGCTAGAGTACTGTCATTGTTAAAAGTTAAACTATTCAAGTAGGTAGTTTAATAGTTTTCCTTATAACAACGTTGCGGAAGATCAGTTTATTTTTTTTAATAAAAACTTTGCCCCTCATTAGGATTTTCTCCTGTGTCGTGGGTTACAAACACACTATTTCACATACACATTACACCCAGAGCCGGATCAACAAAGAATTGTTAAATGCGGGTATCGAACCCATGTCACGTTACGCGGCGGTTGGTTTTCCCAGCCACCGCGCCAACTGTGCAGTCTCTTTATTGTTGCATCTTTTCGTATGCTATAAGAACAGCAATGATTTACGATTACCTTTATATATCCTATATAGCAAGTAAATAGACATATCGTGTTTAAAAAATCAATATAGGCATACAATTTTATTTCCTCCGCGTTTTACTGACCGTAACCTATGAACACGCCATGAGGTTTATTAATAACCTTAAAATTTCCATCAATCGATACCATCGCCGTTGTTAGTACACTCGTGGTGACCTCGAATGAAATGCCTAGATTATATTTAGGTCCAGTGCCCAATTGATCGCCTAAGTAACCTACCTACAGTACCCGGCGATAAATATTACACAACGATTTTTGGAAAAAGGTGTTGTGTGATATTACGATCACATAATACATAACATCACGCCTTTTATCCCCAAAGAGGTAGGCAGAGGTGCACATTATGACAGTTAATGCTATTGTACAATGTAACACCTACTTTTCACTATTAGGTATGTTATGAATACCATGAAATCGGGGGTGGGCCTATTGCCGTATATTGGGCACAAATCCAGACTTAGTGCTACTATTGTTTTTATTCCAGTAGTACTTTGCTCGACCCGGGAATCGAACCTGAAACCCCTTGCCCGGCAATCGCACTTGCGACCACATGGCCGATGAGGCAGTAATACGATCATTTATTTGTTTTTATGATTCGAGGAGAGTGCTGGACTAGTTTTGGCGCCTCAGAATCATATTAAGCGCGGTGGTTTGACCGAATTGGCCGATTATCTTTTTCCTTTCCAAAGGTCGATGTGCAATATTTATCGCCTGGTATATGTCAATAACATTTGTACCCTTGTTGACCCAAACATAGTATTGAGTCATTATGTTAGTTGTTGTAGATAAATAATTAATTATATGTTGCCCCATCCAGGTTCAAAGTGCCTCAGATAAACGAGATATACGGAGCGACGGAGGGCAACGCCAATATAAGTAAGTACATAATAAATATTGCTATACGCTACAATTTCTCGTGGTGCGGCAACGACCACCCCTTTTTTTTTGAGGGGGGAAAATCATCCAACAACTTCTACCGCCCGGCTGAGGCGAGCGGGAGTGTCACTGTCAGACTCTTACTGACTAAAAACCACCCCGTTCCTACTACTGCACTTCGAGCCGGAGCCCCATCTGTGGTGGTCTTTTTTTTTAAGGGGGGAAAATCATCGAATGACTGCTCCCGCCTGGGTGAGGCGGAAGGGAGTGTCAGACTCTTACTGACTAAAAACCACCCCGTTCCTTCTCCTGCACGTCGAGCCGGAGCCCCGGTTACCCGTTAGGTTCTATCTGTGGTGGTCTAATGGCTTCTTGAGGCGCGTGCGGAACGCGACGCGCCGTACGCTCGGGTCTGGTTCTGATCCGTAGGCCCGTGCTTACGGTGGCCGGAGATCGTAACCCTTTTTATAGGAATAGCCAGTAACCGAGCAGACCGGTCACCTGATGGTAAGCTATCGGCGTCGCCCATGGACCCCCGAAACAACAGAGGCATTGAAAGTGCGTTACTGACCTTTTAGAGATTAGGAATTTAAAGATTGTTAAGGAATCGGGGATTGGGGAAATTGGGTCTCCGATAACCTCAGTCACACGATGAAACATAACGTGTTGTTGATTGTTTCACGTGGGTTTTCTTTGATGCTGTGGTATCACTCCGGTCGAAGCATGGCTCTCCCACACTTAATCCCTCAATCTTCCCGTGAGTATTATAAGTCTCCACCAAGTAACTACTCATTTACCCAACCTGTCTGCAAAGCGTGGATATTATAGCAAAAATAAGAGATTATGGAGAGAAGGAGGCCCAGACAGCAGTAGACCTGGTACGGGCTATTGATGATACTGATGCTGATGACTTTTGGTACTCTTTTGGAGTTTTTCCACCTTGTCATAATCTATATAAATGAAAATGAATTGCCAATGGTTAGTCGCGCTAAAACTTGAGAACAGCTGAACCGATTTGACTAATTTTGGTCTTGAAATTCGTGGAAGTCCAGTGAAGGTTTAAAAGGTTAATAAGTTTGCTGCGTCAGCTAGTATTGAAATATAGTTCAAAATCTACAGTGATTAAACGCCATATAAAAGTAAAGTACCTAAATAAACATTTAATCACTAAATAGCACGTGACCCTTGCTCGCTCGTGTGCTATTTCGATAATACATACAAACATTACATACAAATGTATGTAGGTATATACTTTATATATTATCTGTTGCTTAATGTAGCTCATCGAGTTGTATGAATGAATTTGTTTACTAATTAAGTGCCTACCAAACAATATGTATGTGCCTGCTTCCTTGAATTAGGTTTTAATTAAAACGGTTCGTCACAGATCGTTTTACTTTTGACTTCTACGTTTAACATTTTAACATTTATCCTCGTAATCCTCTCCATATATTTATAACATTTAGCCTTTTATCCTCGAAGGGGTAGGCGGAGGTGCACATTACGGCACTTAATGCCACTGTACAATGTAACACCCACTTTTCAATATTTATGTTATGAGTCCCATGTAATAAGAGGTGACCCTATTGCCATATACCGGGCACATTTCTAGACTCCGTGCTTTGTATGACTGAGATTTTTAAAAACTCAGTAATATTTTGTCCGACCCGGGAATCGAACCCGAGACCCCCCGCTCGGCAGTCGCATTTGCGACCACTCAGCCAATGAGGCAGTCAGTTTAACATTTTATTTTTGTTTATTTGTGCACTGATTCATCCTAATATCCTATTGTAAATGCGAAAGTTTATATGTATGTTACTTACTCATTAACGTCAAAACGGCTGAACCGATTGGGATGAAATTTGGAACAGAGGTAGAGATTATTGTCTGGAATAATCTGGCTTAAAAAGATGGCTTTTATCGCCACGGGAACGCGAGCGAGGCTGGCAGCAGAAGCTAGTTTGTAAATAAGTATCTTAGATAACCTAGGTACCGAAAAAAATCCTTAATTCATTATGTAATGTATATTTACCTACATAATTTACCTATGTAAGTAGATATAAATTTAGCAATATTTAACTTAAATGTTACTGACAATTAGGTACTCAAGTAATTAGCAAGTTAAATTCCATTGTTGTCCCATTTGAGATGGTGTGTTAGTCTTCACGATGTGACGTGTGACGTCCTTTGTCTAGTCTTAGGCTGTCTAGTAACCTACATACACTTATAGGTACCTATGCAAATATAATATAAATATGTATTATGAGAAAATTTTGAGAACATTCCATATTTTAAATAGATGTTAGTTATTTATTAAAATTTTAGAATTTGGAAGTCGAAATATTGACAATATTTACATATCTAGACTGTTTTTTGGTTTTCATCCTCCAGATAGGTAGGTATAATACGCCGCGGAGGCCTAGGAACGGGGTGGTTTTTAGTTAGTAAGAGTCTTAGTAATCTGACACTCCCTCCCGCCTCACCTAGGCAGAAGAAGTCATTCGTCGATTTTCCCCCTCAAAAAAAGATAGGTATAATATAGATATATAGAGAATTACCTCTACGCCGATTATCATATTTATAAGCCGGAGTAAAAACGTAGTAAGGAAGATGGCGCTAGTTAGTTATTAGGTAGTGCTTCCCATTTCCACTCGTAAACTTAAATCGGCATCTAATGAGCCAAAACAAACCTCATTCGTGTTTCCATTTTTTATCGAAATTGGTTGAAGTTAAAATTAAACTAATATTTTTTTTTCAGTAAACGTGGACAACACGGTGGGTGCGGTTGGTTTCCTGCCGAAGTTGGTCCCGACGAGCCTGCACCCCATCGCGCTGGTGAAGGCGGACGAGACCGGCACGCTGCTGCGCGGAGACGACGGATACTGCATACGGTGCAAGCCACGTGAGTCTACACTACTTCACTACATAGTATAAAACAAAGTCGCTATCCACCGCCTGTCTGTCCCTATGTATGCTTAGATCTTTAATACGCAACGGATTTTGATGCGGTCGCTAGTACTTCATATAATGTACATTTTACTACCATTCGTTTGGCTGGCTGTCCATTTGGAGACGAAGAAATAGGTTAGAAGTAAACTTTAGACAGATCTCGCGGTTACATCTTCAAAGCCAGTCGTTTTGGCTTGCCCTTGCAGATTTTGGTCATTGGAATCTTTGCCTAACTCGGAAGTTTAAATTCGAGATCAAAATACGTTACGTCATGTAATGATATGGCCACTAAAATGGAAAAGATACTGACCCATATAAAATGATACCATAACCCATCTATTAACGTTATCGCCACATTTTATTAAAACGGGAAGCTTGTAATCAAATATTTGTGTAATTTCCGTCGAGATCGGTTTCGCTACGAAGCGCTTGCGCACGTGGTTTGAAAAGAGAACGCATTCGTTACAGATGAGCCGGGCATGTTCATTGGGCTGATCGCTCAGGGCAATGCTTCGCGGGAATACTACGGATACGTCGATAAGGTAAGCCTGCTAAATAATACTTAGTTTCCACCTAAATAAAGGTGCGTCCAGGCATCGGTTGCAATCTGTTCCCGAGATGCATTCGCCAGATGTGGTCCAAGTGGTTGCACCATATTGTTTATAGAGTTATAATTAGGTATTAAGAGAGTTATATAAAACAAAATGAATGTTTTTAAATAGAAAATGTTTATTTACAAAACTAACGCAATACAAGGAGCATACAATCAAAATTAATTTAAGCAATTTAAATGGGTACATTAGCCTCTCTTCTAGGTAACCTTTAGGATGATGGTTCATCTCATACATACAAACAAAGTTAATAGATATCAATAAAAACTTCACAAAAGTTAGATACATTCATGAACAAAAGCATTTAGCATTAGGACTTATTCTTATTCCACTTTAACTTCACAATTCCAGGACGATAGTAACAAGAAGTTAGTCCGCAACGTGTTCTGTAAGGGCGACGCGGCCTTCGTATCCGGTGATATCCTGGTGGCTGACGAGCTCGGCTACCTCTACTTCAGAGACCGCACCGGGGACACTTACAAGTGGAAAGGAGAGAACGTTGCTACCGCAGAGGTCGAGAACGCCATGTCACCCAGCCTGCAACAGAAGGCCTGCGTCGTTTATGGTGTTTCTGTGAGTGTTACATTGATTTATGATTTGCATTATGGTTTTTGGCTGTTATGTATGGCAATGCCAATAGGCTATAGTCTCCCGTTAATATGGTAAACATACACTTAGGAAAGCGATAGCGGTTGTTTCGCGGTTGTATATTAAATTGGAAAAGTGGCTGATCGCGGGGGCAGCTAACCGCGCGGTCAACAGCTAGTGCGTATGGGGACTTCATAGATATAATATCTCTTGTGACCCCAACCAATGAGACCAACTATCATAAGTATAAAATATAATAATTAACCTGTATGATTCCAGATCCCGCAGACGGAGGGTCGCGCCGGCATGGCATGTATAGCGGACCCGGCGCGCGCGCTGCCGCTGTCCCGGCTGGCGCGCGACCTCGACGACTCGCTGCCGTCCTACGCGCGCCCGCTCTTCCTCAGGATCATCAATGATATTGAGATCACTGGTTAGTGGCCTGCAATTTACTATATAAAAATAAGTCGAGTTTTCCTTCCTGACGCTATAACTCCAGATCGCACGAACCGATTTCCACGGTTTTACATCCGTTGGAAAGATCTCGGGCTCCGTGAGGTTTATAAAATATAAAATTTTAAAAAATGTTCTTCTTCTTTTAATCACCAAACGAAATATTACATAAAATGAAGCCATCTGGTGGTGAAACGGAGTTCGCCGGGGTTTGTTAGTCTAAATCTAAATATAATTATTAGCAGGGCCGGATTTAGGGGTCCAGAGGCCTCGGGGCAACAAAGGAGTGGAGGCCCCCTTGCCCCAAATTATTTTCCAGATTGAGATCGAGGACGCTCGCTTGATTTCGAGGACGTTCGAAAACGATCGAGGACGCTCGATTGATTTCGAGGACGCTCGATAGATTTCGAGGACTCTCGATACATTTCGACGACGCTCGAAAACGATCGAGGACTCTCGATAGATTTCGAGGATGCTCGAAAACAATCGAGGATGCTCGAAAAAGATCGAGGACGCTCGAAAACGATCGAGAACTCTCGATAGATTTCGAGGACGCTCGAAAACAATCGAGGACGCTCGATAGATTTCGAGGACGCCCGATAGATTTCGAGGACGCTCGAAAACGATCGAGGACTCTCGATAGATTTCGAGGACGCTCGAAAACAATCGAGAACTCTCGATAGATTTCGAGGACGCTCGAAAACAATCGAGGACGCTCAATTAATTTCGAGGACGCTCGATAGATTTCGAGGACGCCCGATAGATTTCGAGGACGCTCGAAAATAATCGAGGACGCTCGATTGATTTCGAGGACGCTCGATAGATTTCGAGGACGCCCGATAGATTTCGAGGACGCTCGAAAACGATCGAGGACTCTCGATAGATTTCGAGGACGCTCGAAAACAATCGACGATGCTCGAAAACGATCGAGGACGCTCGAAAACGATCGAGAACTCTCGACAGATTTCGAGGACGCTCGAAAACAATCGAGGACGCTCGATTGATTTCGAGGACGCTCGAAAACGATCGAGAACTCTCGATAGATTTCGAGGACGCTCGAAAACAATCGAGGACCCTCGATAGATTTCGAGGACGCCCGATAGATTTCGAGGACGCTCGAAAACGATCGAGGATGCTCGATAGATTTCGAGGACGCTCGACAGATTTCGAGTTTAAGAATTGAAGAATACCAATTGTTCACATACTGCAATTAATTTTTTTAATGGTCGAGACACGGAATCGAATAGCCAACCTCCGAGGTTGCGGGCAAGTACCATCCCACTGAGCCATTGAGCCATTGGGGTACTCCCTCAAGATGGGTAGTAAATTGGAAGTGCTTATCAGAGCCATTTGAGATTTTGATATTTCACTGATTGCCTGGTTGGAGTGAACAAATATAGATCAATGATTTCTGTTACTGTTAATATTTAAAATTAATATAATCAAATAATCATGTATGTATAAAGTACTTTAGGCTGTAAGTAAAGGTAAAAGCGAAAAAAAAAATTTCAAAGAAAAGATGTTTATTTATTTATTTATTTATTTCTTCTTCACAAAATACCGTGAATGGCGGACTTAATGCCTTAAGGCATTCTCTTACAGTCAACCATAGGGAAGTGCAGAGAAATGAAGTGGTCGCGAAGCCAGAACACAATCAAAAAAAAAAAAAAAAATTATGTAATATGTACACTACACACATAAATACCTATAGAATAAATATATTAATACAATATTTTATAAATAGACATATACATACCATATAATATATACATCGTTCATCGAATCGTCGTTTCGTCGAAGCCAGAGATTCTGAGAGAGCTTGAAAGGTTCTACGGACAGTTATACACCTCGACACGGCAACCCATTGTCGGTACAGCTCGGGATCCTAGAGCTAAACTGACACGGCACTATACCGAGGATATCCCAGACATCAGCCTGTATGAGATTAGGATGGCTCTCAGACAGCTCAAAAATAACAAGGCACCGGGTGTTGACGGAATCACAACAGAAATTCTGCGAGCGGGTGGAAAACCGATACTTTTAGTCCTCCAGAAACTATTCAATTCCGTCATTCTCGAAGGAACTACGCCGAAAGCATGGCAAAGGAGTGTAGTGGTTCTGTTCTTCAAGAAGGGTGACAACTCTTTGTTGAAGAACTATAGACCCATCTCGCTTCTGAGCCATGTATATAAGCTGTTTTCTAGGGTTATCACGAACCGTCTGGAACGCAGGTTTGATGACTTCCAGCCTCCCGAACAAGCCGGGTTCCGGAAAGGCTTTAGCACCATAGACCACATTCATACGCTGCGGCAAGTTATACAGAAGACTGAGGAGTATAACTTGCCACTATGCTTGGCGTTTGTGGACTATGAAAAAGCCTTTGATTCGATCGAGACCTGGGCGGTGCTGCAGTCTCTCCAGCGATGCCATATCGACTACAGATATATCGAGGTGCTAAAGTGTTTGTATAGAAACGCCACCATGCGCATCCGACTCCAGGAAGATAGCACGGAACCAATCCAATTGCAGAAAGGCGTGAGACAGGGAGACGTGATTTCTCCGAAACTGTTCACCAACGCATTGGAGGACGTTTTCAAGCTTTTAAACTGGAGTGGACTGGGCATCAATATCAATGGCGAATACATCACACACCTCCGCTTCGCCGATGATGTAGTCATCATGGCGGAGTCGCTGGAGGATTTAAACACCATGCTCAGCGACCTCGATATCGTCTCCCAACAGGTGGGTCTTAAAATGAACATGGACAAGACCAAAATCATGTCAAACGTCCATGTTGCACCTGTACCGGTCATCGTTGGGAACGATATCCTCGAAGTTGTAGACCACTACACATACTTAGGGCAGATTACAGCTAGGTAGGTCCAATTTCGACAAAGAGGTCGCCCGAAGAATCCAACTTGGATGGGCAGCGTTCGGGAAGTTACGCGAAATCTTCTCATCGAAAATCCCTCAGTGCCTAAAGACCAGGATGTTCAACCAGTGTGTGTTGCCGGTGATGACGTATGGTACCGAGACGTGGTCCCTGACCTCTGGCCTTCTGGAGAAGCTCAAAGTCGCTCAGCGTGCGATGGAGAGAGCTATGCTCGGGGTTTCTTTGCGCGACAAAGTCCGAAATATGGAGATTCGCCAAAGAACAAGAGTTACCGACATAGCTCGCAAAATCTGCAGACTGAAGTGGCAATGGGCAGGCCACGTCGCTCGAAGGACTGACGGCAGATGGGCCAGGAAAGTCCTTGAGTGGAGACCACGGACCGGAAGACGAAGCGTGGGCAGACCTCCCGCTAGGTGGACCGACGACATCGCCAGAGTTGCGGGGAGCCAGTGGATGCGGGTGGCGAGTTGTCGTTCGACGTGGAGGGCTAAGGGGGAGGCCTTTGTCCAGCAGTGGACGTCTTCCGGCTGTTGATGATGATAATATATACTACTAAACAAATACTTATACTGCATAAATACTACAATATATTATATAAAAAAATAAAAAAAGAAAACGTTGTTCGAATAGTTTCCTTAATTATTTTGAGTCTGCCAATGCTTAAGTAGTTGCTCACGGACTTTTAAAGATATTGCGACTTGTTGCCATTCTGATCTCCTTGGGCAACGCATTCCACAGAATAACAGCTTGAATGAAAAATGTTTACTAGGTTTACTAGTTGAAATTTGAAAGATTTTTTTTTCCGAAGTCTATTGTGGAGGCCCCCTGCTTGTGGAGGCCCCGGGGCTTTCGCCCCGGTTGCCCCCACCAAAATCCGGCCCTGATCATTAGGAACTTGTTGTGACAGTCATTTTGATAAATTTTGAAGCTCCGTGACATTGGACCTTCAGCAAACGCTTTTTGTATTTCTTATTAATTGTCGGCTGAAATTGATATAGACACGTGTATATTCTAAAAGGATCATGTAGTTTCTGCCTGTCCTCATGGCATAAATGTGCGGGTTTTGTATGTTTGTAATTTTGTATTATCCTATATTACAATAGAATCAGATGGACTAAAAACTTCACATAAATTACTTCAGCGAATCTTCTTTCGTATCTGTAAAAGGTGCTTTGAATGTTTCATGTTTGACCTACATTAACAATAAGTGCATTTTATTACATATACAGATCGATAAGTGATGCCTATCTATCGCCCACACAATGCATTAGATAATGGAGGTCGACTATAACTACAGGTCATTTCAAGTAGATAGTAAACCATGTACGATGTTGCTCATAATATGGGATACCTACAATAAAGTATAGTTCATTACATAACATAACATCACGCCTTTTATCCCCGAAGGGGTAGGCAGAGGTGCACATTACGGCACTTAATGCCACTGTACAATGTAATACCCACTGTTCACTATTTATGTTATGAGTCCCATGTAATAGGGGGTGAGCCTATTGCCATATACCGGGCACATTTCCAGACTCCGTGCTACTACTGATATTTTAAAAAACCCAGTAATACTTTGCCCGACCCGGGAATCGAACCCGAGACCCCTTGTCCGACAGTCGCACTTGCGACCACTCGGCCAACGAGGCAGTCATTCTATCATTCATTAGTACCTATAGTTCATTCTATCACAACAAATTGTTTACTATGCTGTCTTTATCTTTTCTATAGATGGCACGGATTTATTGGACTTTCACATTTCTAGACTGACCAATTTTCAAATCATAGTTAGTTTCATGACGTAGCTATTTGTAGATTTATTTACTCTCTAGAAATCAGATTGTTTAACTGGACATAATCTGAATTTGAAAATGCTCAGTTTAGAAACGTAAATGTCCAGTGCATTTTTGAATAATCATAGACACATTCAATCTGCCAAATAATGAACGTAACAATGTATAGGCAGGTAACACTTAACGAATGTTTCTATATTTCCAGGCACGTTCAAGCTGAAGAAACTGCAGTATCAGAAGGAAGGCTTCGACCCGGAGGTGATCAAGGACCCGCTGTACTTCCGACTCGGAGCAGACTTCGTGCCCATCACACCACAGCTCTACACCGACATCTGCACAGGGAAGATCAAACTGTAGACACGCACGCCATCTATACGCCAACCGACGTACTGTACAGACTGGACCATTACGTGCAACACAGCCAGACACTCATAGACAAAACTTAGACAAAATCTATTATTTTATTGGGAGTCAACGCTACCGTTCACGTAGTCTACCTGTATCGTATGATGGTTGAATCTATGTAAATTGTTTTGTGAATTCTACAGCATTCGGCACCGCTCAAGCCAGCAACCAACTGGCACTTGTGATACACTATCTAATAAAAAAATGTAAAAAACCCTAAATGGGCTAACGAGAGAATTGTCTGCTCAAGCAGCGTTATACTAAGTTAGACCAGATCACTTCTCTGCACTAAGCCGGCATCATTTCCTTGTATCCAGCAAGTTTAAGCTTTATTACATTACCCATTAGGTAAAATTTACATTAATAATTTAATAAAGAATTCGTAAATTGTTGTTCAAAACATTAGTAGGTAGTTAAGGAAAACGGGCGCGGAGTGCGGAGAACTAGTTAAATTACGATATGTAACCTAGAATGGATGTGGGCGTAACTATGGGCTTATATTTTAATAAAAGTAAATAAATAATTAAATATCGTTCGATCCTCGTTGTGAACAGGTGTGACGTGTCGTGTCGTCCGGTGACGTCACTTGTGTCGTGTCGTTCAAGTCGATATAATTGTTTAGGCGTAGCCAGGGGTAGACACTAGTTGTTGGGTAATGTTTCTGTTGAGAACTAAATATTAATAACCTTACGATTCCGATATCTAAATCGAATCCTATATTCCAGCCATTTCCGTTACACAAATCATTTTACAATTAATATCTACACTTCATTATAAAAGTTGCAAACGCTGATAAGAGAAACAGGTAATGTATGTAGCTTATTAGTTGACATTCCACCATCTAGTCACTTAAGGTGTTCTATTCATTTATCTTAAAATATATTAATGTACCTATGTATGAGTTCCTAAGGTTCGTTCTACTAAACCTCTTTCAAGTTCTGGCGACGACTCGACTGGTTTTTGAGAAAGCTTTGAGTCTTGAATGTGGTTCTGTGAACGTAGTAATGTATTTTGTTTTTAGGCACTTACAAGTCCTGTTGTTAGCGAAACAGACACCTAATATTATGTTGATTCCACGGCAAATAGTCGCAATACGGACAGTGTATTTAGATTTTTGTGCCTTGAAACGAAAATCGCTGCACAGTAGTGTAGACTAGGGAAACTTTGCAGTTTACTCCTAAACAAAATTATTACGTAAGTTGTAAATAATTATAATAAACGATTAAAATGTCTATGTTTTGTTTTATTTATCACTGTTCCCCAATTCTACTTCAAAGTTGACACTGGTAATAACGGATGCTTTGAGGGGAGCAATGATTGAACTAGGTATTTCGAATAGGAAGGGTAGAGACAAATACTTAGTTTAAAAAGCCACTCAGACAGCGACAGTACCCCACGCTCCTCCGTGAAGGGTGGTAACCGATCGAGGGCTGATGGTACCACTGCCCGCCTCACGCTGACACGCTCAGACAGACACCGCGCCACATCTCATCAACGTGACTGGTGAGGACACACAGTGTGAAAGTCTCGAGAAGAGCTTGCTATAGAAATGATCCTATACAGTAAGGTGATACATGATGTCATCCATTCTACACCGTTAAACAAATCGCCATAATGAATATGAACAGTTAAGGTACACTATCGTTTATTTTTTTAAATGATCTAAGAAAAAAGTTTCTTAGGGTAACTAATTAACTAGGTACTATGATGTCTTTAAAAAATGTTTTTATGAAGCTTCAGATTTCATCAGCAACGCTGCCAATGCAATATCAATAAAAATACTACACAATCTACAAATAGATAGGTACTTGTGTACGCACCGTACCAAAATAAAACTTAAACCACGGATTGTACCCAAATCAGAATCACCTTGCTTGTGAATTTTCTCAAAATAATTAGGTAAGTAAGTCTAGGTCTAGGTTGATTACCTCGCTGATCGAGTACAAATAAAAACTAGGAACCATTACGAAAATGATCAATGATAGGATTACTAGAACGTCACAAGTCCAATTGGATGAACATGATAAAAATGAAAAAAAAAAAAACAATGCGACCTACAGCTGTCCTTGAAGTCGACGATACAATGGCACCATGTGATCGACAGGGTTCCAAGAGTTATAGGAGTTATCAGAAAAACATAAAAAATATACATAAGTCTATAGTTTTAAAATTACAATGACTTATGTGTTATCCACGAAAAAGTACACCGTGTGCTAGTTTTTTGACTCTTGATACCTACTATAATTCTTTATTTTTCGTCTGTATTTTTGCTTACGTTATCCTGAATAGTGCTTCAGTGTTACGGAATCATAAATTCCGGGCCACCTGATTTAATTTGGAAAAGAATATCTGTTTTTGACGAACCAAGTACTCTCAAATTGAGCCTCAATAATTTCTTTTACCTTACTTTGTGACTGACAGTACCTACTGAAAAAAAATATAGGTACTGTACTAGTAGTGGCAAATTTCACCCAACTTGGCGCGTGTAATAAGGATTCTAGAATAATATACCACTCCTAACATTATTTCTTGGTACAATCAGTATGTACACAAAGCACCGCTAATTAGTTAGCGGCGCTACACATCGACACAACTATCATTTACACAATATACATGTGTGGGTAATTTCATATCAATAGATATGTATAGAAACATTCGTCTATCACACACATCTTGGTATTTAAAAATCATTTTTGTGTCGGTATACGCAATAATTTAGTAAATAAGTTTAAATAAAAACGAGGGTAAAGATAAAATTACTCATAACAAACTTTGAATAAATCGAAATCAAAAATAATGAACGATCGAGCTATACAATACCCATATAAATATAGTGCTTTCTCATTGTAATTTTATGTTACTGAATGATATAAAATATTTCGATGATCTCATCTACAGCGCGCTTGGCGCAATGGTTATCGCCTCCAATTGTCAAGTAAAGTGCCGCCGGATCGATTCCAACATTCACATGTTGTTTTAGAATTAATTTATCAAATATTTGAAATTAGAAACAATTAAATCTTTTCTTTTTTTTCCTTTCCTATTGTTCTAAATCTTATGTTAATTTTAATAGTAAATACTTTAGATTTATTTATACCTATAATATCTTTTATTTATATTTTAGTTCTAGTTATTTATTATTTAGAATAATCTCATTTGCTTCATGCATTTCAACCAACTTAAATAAGATAAAAACAGTAAAAAAGTAATTAACTGTGATTTCTTAATGGTTCGATACCTGAGTATATTTGCAATGTTTGTGGCGACCATAGAAATCTCGAGTCATTTTATTTTACACGCTTATGAAGTAACTACCGACTATTTAAAACATGTTTTTCAAATCACCCGACTTACAAAATAATTGCGTTCTTAGTTGTCAATTTATGAGGATTTCATAGTTTATTGCTACACTACTTATATTCGTGTGCAAAGTTATTTTTATTTTTACAAGATGTTCCAACACCTATCAACATTTAAAAAGGCTGAAACCATTGTTTTGCATGAGCAAAACATAACTAACAATAACTGAAATAGCAAGGCGTTTAATGATATCGGTGAGTAAATAAGATACTACGTTGATATTCTAAATAATATTTATTTCATTTTGTAACTCGACACACCAATTTTTGCACTAGAATAAAATAATTATTGCAACTTATTATGAAGTTCAATATTATAAAGATATATTAATAATTTATTATTAATTGTATTGTAACTTGACTTGTTTTTGTTAGGAGTGTTTCTTTAAAACATATCTGGTTAGGGATTTTTATTCCTTACGCCACTACTTAATTATAAATTATTATTCTAACATTGTGTTTACTTATATTTATTATTATTTTTAAGTAACTTTAATTCCTGTAAAGTATTTCCTGGTATTTTAAATACTTATTTGTTTGGTATCAACAGAGGAGATCCATGCAGTTATGGGTGCACAGATATGCGGAGACCGGTGACGTTAAACATCGTCGACGTGGGCCTAAACCAAAGGCAAATTCATCGGCTCGGCACTACGACATCGTAGCCAGGCACATGGCTGATCCGTTCCTGCCAACCCGCACTACAGCGACAGCACTGAATGTTTTAATACAAACTGTACGGAGACACCTGCATTCTGGTTTAAGGTGCAGGAAGCCAGAGAAGAAAATATTGTTATCTGTGGTTCACCAGCAAAAGCGCTAAGAATTTGCTAAGGACTTTATTAATTTTGATTGGGCGAACAGTGTAATCATATTGAGCGACGAAAAGACTTTCAAGTCGGATAAGGATGGGCGTAAAATATTGTGAAGAAAAGATGGAGAAAGGTATACGAATTGCAACCTTCTGCCTTGTAGGATCAGTGATTGTATTGATTTCGGAATCAATTATTGAGCCTGTCAAACTCTGCCTTTATTAAAATTAACATAAAATAATGTTTAATTTTTTTAAGAATATTAAAATGCTGTCTAGAACATACGGTGAAGTGATGTTATTGTTTTGTGGTTAGAAATTGTCATAATTTCTTTCTATTCAACATGTTTATTCACTTCACTTTAATTTTTCATTAACAAATTTATTTAACTGCTTTCGAACTTGATTGACATATTATATTTACGCCCATCTTCAATTAATTTAAAGTTTCCCTGATTCTAAAGGTCATGAAAGTTAAAATCGTTCCATAGCATTCGTCACATTCTTTTTACTATCATACAGCCCACTGAATATTGAACCTTATAACAACCGTCGTAAAATAGATAATTAATGGAAGTTCAAACGACAAAAAGTCGCCCATTTCAAGAAATATTATGTTGACAGTGTAATTTTTTACATGTTTTACTTGTTTATTACTGTAAAACTGTAATTTAATAATACATTATATTATTAAATTACAAAACAAGAATGTTGTATATTTGTTTATTACCTACTTAATAAAAAATGTTGCTGCCATCGTATTACCGCTGTACCGCATGATA